TTTTCGTTCTTCTCTGGAGTATGGGTTTCGATTGCCCCTGCCTACATGGTTGTGTGTTGTAATGCACCGTAGTAAGCTTTCAATCGATTCTGTTAGTCCTCGTTTTTGGACTTTCATCGCTTGTTTTATTCTGTCATGTCGTCGAGTTGGGGTTCCACCATCCCCCGAGTTGTTTTATGCTTGTTTTTTCTTTCGTCATGATCGAGTGGCTTGGGAGCTACACAAACGGAAGTCAGCCAATAACCTTTGCACTTCGCTGAGCCATCTGAAGGGGTCGTGGGAGACGGAATTTTTTTATTTTCTTGCCCCGCCTAGTGAGTTTACCTCCGGAGGTATCACGGTCCCAGCTGACTGGAGTGAAGGTGTTACAGGTGGATTTCAGGATCCCGTGATTGAGGGAGAAATCGCTTTACAGCATGATCGGCTTCTCCAGGAGAGACCCATTGATATAAGTACTCCTGGGGCTCGAGCAAGCTTGTTTCTTGCTGTTTATGGTAAAGGTACGTCATTTTTTACAGTACTTCCCTTTTTGTGACCGTATTTTCTAACTGTAATCCTTCCTTGCAGATTACTCGCACTTTCAGAGGTGTATGAGGAATAGAGAAGTGCCAGCAGTGCCTCACTCGTATGTCGGGGTGCCAATTCGTGAGAGACCAGATAATCCCCCGCGTGGACGGTCGAGAGTTCGTCATGACCAGTCGAAGAGAACTCGTTCCTGGGTGAGAGGATCAGGAGATTCCCCTACTGGGAAGGGTCGCTCTGAGGGGAGAGCCAGAGATGCTAAAGGAAAAACCCCAGTGGGCGGTAGGGGAACCCTGAAGCATCAGGGGGAGTCTTCAAGAGCCAACAAAGGTGGAATTTTGGCTGGTGGTGTCATAACGTATGACAGTTTGTGCGATGCGGGGAAACACTATCCCGTTTTGGAAGATGTAGCCACAGGATCAACTTTTGCTTCTTCTGTTTCAAAGGTGCTTTTACGTTCTTCCTTTGTTTTTCGTTCTTCAATTTGTATATGATACATTGACGTTGTTATTTTGCGAATAGCTGGCGAGGTACGCTGTTGCCATGGAGTGTCGCCTAGCTATGGCAGAGCTTCGGGTTACTAAGGCCCGAGAGGAGGCAACTCGTTCTTTGGAAGAAATGAGAATCCAGATGAAGACAAGAGAGGAGCAATTTTCTTCCAAATCTTGTGAATGGAATGCAGACATGGTGGAGGCTCAACAACGTGTTGAGGTAGCCACACAGGAGCTGCGTACCTCAGAAGCAGCCGAGGCTGGCCTTCGCGAAAAAGTTGAGCAGCTTCACGCCAGTATGCGTGAGGAGAGGCTAATCAGAAGGTCTTTACGGTCGGAGAATACTGGTTTACACTCAGAAAACACCACCCTCCGATCAGAGAATAATACTCTACGTCATCAGTTACAGATGGCGGTTTCGGGAGTGATGGAAAATGTCCATCGCCTGGCCAGAAGGGCAATTTATTGTATGTATCCTGCAAGAGATATTGACGACACCCGCCTTCGTCAAGTGGTGGAAGAATGTGCGACTACTTTGGAACCTGAGGAGGTGACATCCCAAAATATGAATGTCGTGGAGGAATGCGTTGGTGCTCCTCAGTCTGGGGAAGCAGCAAGCCAAATTTCGAATTTGGAGATTGAGTTCCATCGCATCTCGCCACTTTTAGATGCTGTTTCTGAAGCAAGTCCAATGGTTGGCACCCCAGTGCATTCAGACTTTAATATCTCGACGGCAATGTTGTTGGCTGCAACCGAGTTACTCGGCCCAGAGTTTTTTGAGTACTAAAGTTTATGAAATTCCCACTTGAAATAACATTGTAAAATATTATGTAAGATACTCGGTCATGTGTATAGCTTAGCTTATAAACACCTGTAGTAGGTAATGTATAATGGGCTTCCAAACTTTTGTAATAATAAACACGCTACTTTTATTGCTAGCTATCTTTCACCCTACCATGGTTTTTATTTAGGGAACAAATCCACTGGGGTGTTTATTTAAAATATAGCAAGGGTATACCATATTTATGGAGTAAAGTATCTCCTTAGATGCATTGTGTTCCAAGTCCTTGACATGTCTTGACCATCAGGGAGTGATAGTTTTACAGTATTTGGTCCGACCACTTTACGCACTTTGTAAGGACCCTCCCACTGGGGGGTGAACTTTCCTTGACTTGGAATGTGTTTGAAGTTTCTCTTCAGAACCCACTCCCCTTCCCTGATGGGTCGATTTCTCACCTTGGCGTTGTAGTAACGCGCGATCCTCTCTTTGGAAGCGGCGAGTCGCAAAAGTGCTTCCTCTCGACGCTCCTCGATGAGATGTAGATCATGAGTGAGCTCGATTTGATTTTCATCAGGGTGGAATGCTTGGATTCTGTAAGAGGAGAGCTCCATTTCAATTGGCAGCACAGCATCGGTGCCATAAGTCAAGGCATATGGTGTCTCCCCAGTGGAAGTCTTGTAAGTTGTCCGGTGGGCCCAAAGCACATGGGGCAGCTCCTCGACCCATCGACCCTTGGCCTGGCCTAATCTGGTTTTTAGGCCCCATAGGATGCTTTTGTTAGCAGCCTCAGCCTGACCGTTAGCTTGAGGATAGGCCACCGAGGCATATCGAAGTAAGATTCCATTTTGGGCGCAGTAGGCCTGTAAATCTTCGCTTGTGAATTGTGTCCCTTGATCCATGATTAGAGTGTGAGGGAGACTGAACCTGCATAAGATGTTTAGCCATAAAAACTTTTCAACTTTCTGAGTGGATAGGCTAGCGATCGCCTCAGCCTCAATCCACTTGGTAAAATAATCAATGGCTACGATCAACCATTTCTTTCGTCCGGGAGCCATGGGAAAGGGTCCCAAAAAGTCCATCCCCCATTGAGCGAATGGCCATGGCCCGATGTTAACCTGCATTTTTGATGGAGGTGCATGAGTGGTTTGCGCGGCCACCTGACATTTGGGGCATGCTTGAGCATACTTTTGAGTGTCCCGCCGCATCGTGGGCCAGTAGTAACCTTGTCGTAGAAGGGTTTTTTCCAAGCTACGAGGACCAGCGTGCATCCCACATGATCCTTCATGTACCTCCTGTACGGCAAAGTGTGCTTCGCCAATGCTGAGGCACCGCAGGTAGGGTCCAGTGAAGCCTTTCTTGTATAAATCTCCCTCGATCAGGAGGTAACGAGGAGCACGTCTCTTAAGGCGGATGGCTTCCTTCTAGTCAGCGGGCAGGAGCCCATGTTTTAGATACTCGATGAGAGGTGTTCGCCAATCGGATTGTGCTGGAAATGAGGTAACTTGGGCGCATAACATTGTTGGACGCCTTTCAATGATCACATGTCTCTCGCTGAGGAAGTCTTGTGCTGTTGCAAGTTTTGATAATGCGTCTGCATGAAGATTATCCTCACGAGATATGTGGACTATCTCCGCTTGAGGAAACTCAGAGAGTGCCATAGGAGCGGCATTGGTGTATGGTACGAGCGTGGGATCTCGTACCTCGTATGCCCCCTGCACTTGATTGACAACTAGGGCAGAGTCGGAGTGGACCCTAATTCGTTGAATGCCCAATTCTTGAGCCATAATTAGTCCCGCTAGGAGGGCTTCATACTCGGTAGCATTGTTCGTCATGGTGCTGGCAAAGCGAATTGCCAATTCATGAGTGACTCCTAGAGGGCTGATGAGCAAAACCTCTGCTCCTGATCCAGTTTTACTAGATGCACCATCAACGTATAATCTCCAAGTCTCTGTTTCTGGTGGGATACATGCTCGAACACCTTCTGCAACAAAGTCAGCTAAAACCTGGGACTTGATGGCGGTGCGAGGGAGGAAAGTGATATCGTATTCACTAAGCTCGATGGCCCAGTTCACCATTCTACCAGCAACATCCATCCGCTGAAGTAGACAACGTAAAAGCAGTTGAGAGAGTATACATATGGGGTGGCTTTGGAAGTACGGACGCAGCTTTCGAGTGGCAACCACCACAGCTAGGGCGGCTTTCTCCACAGGAGAGTATCTTGTTTCAGCATCTAACAGGGTCTTACAAGTGTAGTAAATAGGATGCTCTGTATGGTCTGTATCTCGGCGAACGAGTACAGCACTCACAGCCTTGGAGGAGACAGCAAAGTACATGTACAATGTCTCGTTGTTGACGGGAGATGAGAGTATTGGGGGATTCACCAAGTACTCCTTAAGTTTTGTGAAAGCTTTCTCACATTCAGGAGTCCACTGAAAAGTTTTTCCAGCTCCTTTTAGGGTGTTGAAGAAAGGGGCACACCGATCCCCAGCTCGTGAAATGAATCGATTGAGTGCCGCAATCCTTCCTGTTAGAACCTGTACTTCTTTATGCTTTGTAGGTGATGTCATCTGGAGAATCGCTTCAATTTTCCTGGGGTTAACCTCGATTCCACGTCTTGTCACCATGAATCCAAGAAACTTCCCTGCGGTGGCCCCAAAGACGCACTTTTTTGGATTAAGGCGTAAGTTGTATCCTCGTAGGGTATCAAAAGTCTCGCGTAGATCTTCTAAATGTGCATGTGTCTCTGCACTTTTGATTAGGATGTCATCCACATAGGCTTCAACATTTTGACCTAGTTGTCGGGCAAAGACTCGATCCACCATACGTTGATAGGTAGCTCCGGCATTTTTGAGACCGAACGGCATCACCTTGTAGCAATAATTTCCTACCGGAGTCATGAAGGCAGTATATTTTTGGTCGTCCTTCTTTAGTGGGATCTGGTGGTACCCTGAGAACATATCAAGAAAAGAGAGATGGCGATGACCGGCGGTCGCATCAATAAGCAGATCAATCTTGGGCAAAGGATACGGGTCCTTCGGGCAAGCCTTGTTGAGATCGGTGAAGTCAACACACATTCTCCACTGGCCGTTGGCCTTTTTAACCATGACCACATTAGCCAACCATGTTGGGTAGAGAACCTCGCTAATGAAGCCGGCTTGCCCTAGCTTGATTACCTCCTCTGTTATAGCCTGGCGACGTTCCCATGCAAAATTCCTTCGTTTTTGTTGGATGGGCTTGCTACCTGGGATTATCCCTAGTGTATGCTCGGCAACTTTTGAATCAAGACCAAGCATATCCTCAGGTCCTTGAGCAAAGAGCTATTTGTACTCGATCATCAAACTAAGAAGTTGTGGGAGATAATTTTTAGGCCATGCCATGGATACACGAACGGTTCGCCCTTCTTCTAATGGAAGTTGATTGTGTTCTCTACGGTTTGTTGGTTATTGCCAATACGAACTTGGAGTGGGAGAATCCCCAGAACTGGGACTTGATTTCCGGAGAACCCCACGAGGTAAATGCTAGGAGGGTGACATTTGTTTAGTTGAAGACCCATGGACTTGAAAGCTGGGTAGAATAAAAGATCTGCAGAGCTTCCTCCATCGATGAGGACTCGTTGCACAGAATAGTTTGCAATTACTGCCTTAATGACTAAGGCATCATCATGAGGATACTCGATATCTTCAAGATCCCTATCGTCGAAAGATATGGGAATTTGTGTGGTAGAAGCGGAACCGACCAACCTTAGGGCACCAGTTGAGCGAGAACCAACTTGTTCGGTTAATTTGACCCCACCATGAATGACAGGAACATTTCCCAACACCGATTCACTTCCCTGTGGTGCTTTTCCTTTGTCTATTATTGGAGGTGAAGGGAGAATAGGGGGACGAATATTCTTTACGAAGTCTCGAAGATAGCCTCGTTGGATAAGTCTTTCAATAGAGTGCTTGAGGGTGTAACAGCTTTCGGTATCATGTCCCGTACATCGGTGAAATTCGCAGTAGAATTGTTGGCCCTTTCCTGAAACCCTCATAACTGGAGGAGGTTGAGTAATGGGAATTTTCTTCTCTCGAATGATATGAAGAATGGCTTGTCTAGAGCGATTGAGAGGAGTATAGCTTTGTTGTAACTGGGTATCTTCCCTTCTGGAATTTTGGGAAGAGTTTCGGCCCTCGGCTGCAGGAGCTTGACGTTGTCGGCGGGAATCTTGGGATGAAGTCTCTTGTTTTCTTTTGGATCCTGCCCGACTAACCTCCTGAAGTGCTTCTTCTAGATCAATATATTTTGAAACTTGCTCTTGAAGCTCCATAGTGTTGTGGGGAGCCCGTTTTGCAAGAGAAGCATATAAATCAGTGTTGATAGTCCCTCGCATCAGGGCATTGGTGGCGATCTCAGTGGAAATGGACGTTAGTCCGATGGCGATGTTACTATATCGAGTATAGTAAGCCTTGAGTGTCTCATCATCACGCTGCCTGATGCTGAGGAGTTGATGGATGCTGATAGGTTGTTTTTTTTGTGCGTAGAATTTGCATATGAAGAGAGTGGCAAATTCGAAGAAACTGGAGATAATACCATCTTGTAACTTTGAGTACCATCGTCGGGCATCTCCACGGAGTGTTGCTGGGAAGATTTTGCACATTGTTGCATCAGATGCTCCGATTAATGGCATTAGGATTTGAAAAGAGCAAAGGTGGTCTTCTGGATCTGTGGTGCCATAATATTCTGGCAAGCTTGGTAAATGAAGATTTGATGGGTAGGGCTCATCCTGCACGATTCTGGATAGAGGTCCTCCTATTCCGGTTGAAGTGACAACTCCGTGTCCTGGGGAAGGTTCGAGCAGATTGGCTGAGAGACTCGGAGCGATTAATCCAACAGGTGCTGACATCCCATTGGGTGGTTCGTTGACCGAGCCATGGGCTGCAACTCTCTCCTGATTATTTGTTACGGGTCCTCTGGAAGATCCAGGAGCATTAATCTGGGAGGCTTCTTTGGCCCTGAGTTGAGCTCTAAGTCGCTCAATCTCAACCTGCATCTCACGTACTTGTGGCGGAGTAGGGATGGGTATTGCTTCTGGTGCCGGAATGGAGGTATTCTGTGCAAGTGGCACCACTCGAGGCTCTGTATTTTGACTCGGTGCATCGCTGAGTGGTGAACGGGGGGTTGGGTTGCCCCCAGTCTCGATTACTCTTAAAGAGCGACGCACTGCTTCAATGGTAGGAATACTGGGAGAACCTTGGGTATTCATCACGGCTTGAAGGTGGTTTGTTAAAACTTTGGAAATATTCTTCTCACCGGGCCCCACGGTGGGCGCCAATTGTTGATGCCAAGCTTAGAGCAGCCTGCTTCAATATGTTTAAGGTCCGGAGAGCGCTGATTTCCCAAAGCCTTTAACCACCTCCAGCTCCGTGCGAATACTTGAAAAAAAGGTCCCACCGGGGGGGTCCTGGTTGGAACCTCCTCCGACGCTCAAATTAGTAACCTGAATGGAATAAAATAAATACGGTGACGTTAGACCTGGTTCGGTCCCACGGTCGTAATTGAGCGTCGTCGGCTATTTAATGCCGCCCGGTGGAGACTATCCACGATCCCATGGCTTAGTCCGCCAAATTGAGGGTGTGTTGAGTGTTAAGAGATTTAACACGCTTTTGGGAGATCGAGAGGAGAGAGAAAACGTTTTTAGAGAGAGAAAGTAGAGAGAGTGTATATGGTGTGTGAGTTGTTGTTTTGAAAGGGGGAGGGGTGCTCCCTATTTATAGAAAAAAGTCGTAGTTAAATTCCTCGACTTACGTTAACATTCACCAACATTCTCCATTATTCTCCTATACTCGTTAATATTCTCCGTAATACCTTAACATTCTCCGTCATACACTAATATTCCTTATCTAGTATAGTATTTGAGAAAGTGTAAGGGTGTATGTGAAAGTAGAAGAAGTATAAATATGTAGTGGAAATTAAAGGAAAGAGTAGGGATGGGAATTGTACGTATATGTATGCATGAACATGCATGATAAAGGAAAGTGTAGGAAATGGTAGGGAGAAGAAGGAAGTTTACGTGGGAGTGTAGAAAGAAATAGTAAGGGAGGGAGATGAGGTGGCATCTGCCACTTGTGGGAGAAAGGGAAGGAAAGAGGGAGAAAGTGAAGGAAGAATGAGACAAATAAGAAATTTAGGAAGAAATTAAAAAAGTGAGTAAAGGAAAAAACAAATACAGTAGTTAAAGGAAAAAAAACAATGAAGGATTCTGATGGTCTAATACAAATTTTCGGGTATTTCGGGTACCGCAATGATGAACAATTTATCGAGTGTATTAATGAAAGGACAGGTGTTTAATATTTTAAAATTTTATCGGTTAAGAACTGGGTCTATCACATACATACAAGTTTAATTATGCCATTAATGAAATAGTTCTCCAATTAGATGAATATGTAAGCAAGAATCACAAAAACTCAACATCTATGCATTTAAATAATGAGAAGATTACCAGAAACACTCTAGGTTCGAAAAACCTAGCCAAAAAAGTATTCCAGCACTATAGAAGAAATAAAAAAAATCATCAAAAAAGCAAGAAGGGGACCTATATACTCTTCTAGGCAGTATCCATGAATAATCTAGATCCACCATGTGGGTTTTATTTTGATGTAATTTTAATTATGTACAAAGTATGACTCAATCTATAGAACTAAACACAACTAAAATTTAATGAGTGTAGTTTGATGATAGAAATACTAATTACAAGGAAGAAGTTTCCATGTTCAAGTTTGATAGTAAACAAACTAATATACTCATTTTTAACTCGTGCCAAGGACCCTCTCTCAGCACATAACCTCTGCCCTGCTAAGACACAACTACAAATAAGGAGAAAGATTGAGCGTTTTGGATTTTATAGCATTGCTAGGCTAAGTCTGCAACATTGTTTGGTTTTCTATTTTTCTTTCGACTGTGTAATAATGGTAAGCTATATTTCTAAACAAAGACATGCAGACGACGTTGTTACACTACTCGAGTGATTTTTATGGGGCTATGGACTATTGCTGACACGTATAAATGATACCCTTGTGTTATGATCAAAACTGCACTTATTTCATATCATTATTGGCATAATACCTTCAATTCGTGCTATGATTGCTTCGAGTGTGTTTTAGCAACCATAGGATTGATTTTGCGGGTTTAATGTGCTTATGATAGCATTCTGTGCATTTTAATGTCAAAGAAGCCTAGTGGACCACTTGGTAGCTGAAGGGGATCATCATGATATGAAAGAGGACGAGAATATGAGCATCCAGATCAAACGGGGCCTAATTTGAAGTTTGCACGAGGGAGCAAAGGCACAGACAAGTTAGCAGTCCGAAGTAGATAAAGCCTAGAAACGGCGGCTCGAATTGTCAATTTTCACTCTTTGCCTTCGAAACGGGCGCTGCTTTGTAGAACACATAAAATTTGGTAGGAAGTTTTCCCATCTTGGCGTGGTGGCTACGCCGAGGAAGCTTTGAAAGAGCTCGGAAGATGCATTCAAGGACTAGTTTCTTTCCCCACAAAGCCTAATCAATGGCCTATAAATATTCCTCCATAGGTAGAAATTGGAGGATAATATGAGAGGTCAAGGAAGGGTCGTTACTCTGTTGACAGAGCAACCCTATTGACTAAGAGCGAGACAAACCTACGAGGGAGAATCGACGCTAGAAATGGCAGCCTTGGCCCTGATTTCTCTATTGTCAGTGTCGATTCCTATTGGCTTCTAGGTCTTTGTTTCATCGATGAAAACCTAGGAACTCCTCCCCATGGTTGGCTAGTTACCTAGTTGCGTAGGTATGTGAACTCTAGGGGTTCTAACCATATAAACTCAATGTTTGGTATAATACAATTGTGTTATTTCAAATGAATTAATAATTGATTTCCTCAATTTTGGTTTTTGTCTATTCGAATGAGAGCTTAGTCAACCTTGCACTCTTTCGAGGTGCAAGGATCGAAATCCAAGTTGCTTAGGATGAGACTAGTGACACGCTAAAACACAACACCAAACTGCGACCAAGTGTAATCGTAGTTCGGAAATGCAGAATAGTGGCAAGTTCAATTTTTCAACCCGGGGTCTTGACCTACTGCCTACTTCGTGACTACCTGTTATCTAGCGAGACTAAGTTGAGTGAATGTGATTTTAAACTAAAGCAGTAAGAAAGCAGGAAATGGTTCGAAGTTCTTAAGAAAGGGAAGAATCACTCGGGAATGAGTCCCCCTAGCTCCTTAGTTAGGTCAAAGTTGTAATTACCTTTGGTTGATTTACTGCGGAAGATCCGTTAGTAGCTTGGAATCTCTTAAGCTGACCAAGCCCTCTCTGACAGACTACCCGGCAGACGACTAGTCTTCACTAGGATAGAATGTTGAGGCAATTAACACAGAACTCCACTACTGGAATTGGATTCCAGTACAAAGCAGTGAATCGACTAACTCTCGTATAATCGATTCACTACTACCGATTGAAGAAGCTCTAACAACCTAATCGGATGCTATCTATCTCAGGTTGCAGCATAAATCAAGAAAAGATGATCAGACTTCAATTGACTCGATGAATTATGCATCAATCGATTATAGTCAAGTAGTATCACAAACCAAAAGTCATTACAATCAATATCCCTAACACATGGAACTAGGGTTCTTCATACCCAAGTGAGAGAGGGTTCTACTCCATAGAGAGAGAGAGGAAAACAGAAATCAGAGAAGTCATACTCATAAAGATGGGAATAATCTGCTCTAGGATGTCGATCTTCACGCCTATGGATGCAATTTGGGCTTCAATGGTGAGAAATCCACTCCAAATAGCTCCTAGGGTTTGTTCTTGGCACTTTCTCTCTCTATAACTCTGTTTTTGCTCTGAAAAATCGTCCCCCTCAAAGTATGAGCTCCTCTCCAATAAAACCTGCACAGGTGCAAAAACACGACCTCTAAGCCCAAAAACAAGGTCTTGTTTTAATCAAAAGAGGTCGGGTTTAGGAACGACGATTCTGTGAAGTGCAGAGGAAAAATACGGCCTCTAGCACAAGGCCGTGTTTTTAACTACAGAGGCCGTGTTTGAGGGCGTGTTTTTAAACAGCTCTGTTTCCCGTTTTCGAGATCGACCTGCTTTCACCTCCAAATGTCCTGAAACTCTTCCCCAAGCCATATCTACATACTAGGACCTGAAATACGACAAAAGAACACAACCTAGCGTAAAATAGGCCAAGGAATGACCAATCACTAAGCTAAACAATCAAGAAATGAAGGGTAAAACATGTGCAAATACGGTATTATCAACTAGAAATGGAAGTCCTATTAAATCTAACATCATTCGATCAAACAGCATGATGCCTCATGGGATAAATTTGAAGGCACCTTGTCTCCCATTAGTTGGGGTAAGCTTTGACACAAGATGATATTTTCCGAAATAAGAAATCGGCAGCTCATGTGCCACCAATCATCAAGGTAAGGTTCTATTGAGTCGAGTCTAGTAGAGGCAAATTTGGCAGCCATTGCGTCATTTTTCTCCATAAAATGGCAGCCTTGGCTGCTTTTCTGCCTCTGTATGTTTTTCTAATTTATATCGTGTCTGTGTGTTTATTTTTCGTATTTCAATTTTAAATTTTCGTTTCTTGTATTTCTTTTTGTGATGTGTGTGTGCTGTGATCAAGGAGATAACCGATAAAAAAATCAACAGTTAATCACCTATTTTCTGCCAAAATTGTGGACCAAAGCAGCAAAAGTTCTTCAAACTTCCATGGCCAATAGTTAGTGGCTCTTTTTTTGGGGCATGCCTTTTTGGTTTCGGAACCTAACCCACTTTCTTAAGTGAGTCCAAAGTCATGTATTATGAGAAAATATATTCGATTCATCTAATCAAGGTCGCCAAAGAGGGGTCGTAAGGGGAAGCAAGTCATAGCTCTTTCCTTAGATCCTCCTTTCTGATTGAACCTATTGCTTCCTCAAATCCATGGGTGAATGGGACGACTGTTGCGCATACACTCTAGTCGATTTCGCTCGACATAGTCTATTAGAAAGCTCATTCAATGTAACCTCAACAAAACATACGTATTCCAACTCTAAACTTATAGAACAAATTATGCTACTGGGATACAAACGTCCTTTCTATGGTGAGGAGGATGAGGATGATCCAGCCATCCACCTAAGAGACTTTGTTTTTGTCGCACACGATGTGGTGTCTCAAGAAGCCTTTAGGGGCAGTTTTAAGCTAAAGCTCTTCCCTTACTCATTAAAGGAAGAGTATAAGATTGGTGCAACCTCATCCAGCTGTAACCTTCAATACATGGGATTCCCTTCAACAAGCCTTCCTAAAGAATATTTTCCTAAAGAATATTTTCCTAAAGAAAAGGATGATGAGAAAATGAATCAAATTGAAAGGTTTAATCAAGAGGATGATGAGACATATATGTTGCTTGAACCAGCTATAAATATCTAATTTTGTCTTGTCCACATCATGGGTTTAGCTTGCAAAAACAGGCATGCTGGCTTTAGGAGGGTTTTATTTAACCCAATGGCTCATATGTTTGGAGACATCACTCAACTCACTACAAAATCCAAAATGGATCACTTTGATACTACGACTCGTAGAACCATATAGAGGAAGCGACATGTACTTCTTCAACCACCGAATGTCGTCCAAGCTCAACCAAGTCTGGGTATCATTATGCTACTTGAAGCCGTAAGGATAACAAATATAGAGGCATCCCTGCAA